CAGAGGCACGTCGGGCAGCGGCACACAGGGCAGAGGCACGTCGGGCAGCGGCACACAGGGCAGAGGCACGTCGGCAGCGGCACACCAGGGGCAGAGGGCACGTCGGATTACCAGGCGAAGCAGCAGGCGCCGGGCCCCCGGGCGAGCAGCAGGCGCCGGCCCCCGGGCGGAGCAGCAGGCGCCGGGCCCCCGGGCGGGGCAGCAGGCGCCGGGCCCCCGGGCGGGGCAGCAGGCGCCGGGCCCGCCCGGGCGGGGCAGCAGGCGCCGGGCCCCCGGGCGGGGGCAGCAGGCGCCGGGCCCCGGGCGGGGCAACAGGCGCCGGGCCCCCGGGCGGGGGCAACAGGCACCCGGGCCCCCGGGCGGGGCAACAGGCACCGGGCCCCCGGGCGGGTGGCAACAGGCACCGGGCCCCCGGGCGGGGCAACAGGCACCGGGCCCCCCGGGCGGGGCAACAGGCACCGGGCCCCCGGGCGGGGCAACAGGCACCGGGCCCCCGGGCGGGGCAACAGGCAACCAGCGCGCCCCCCGGCGGGGCAACAGGCATCGCGCCCCCCGGCGGGGCAACAGGCATCGCGCCCCCGGGCGGGGCAGCAGGCATCGGGCCCCCGGGCAGAGGTACTCCGGGCAGGACTCCGGGCAGCGGCACACCGGGCAGGCATCGGGCCCCCAGGCATCGGGCCCCCAGGTGGGGCGACAGGCATCGGGCCCCCAGGCGGGGCGACAGGCATCGGGCCCCCAGGCGGAGCGGTGGGCGCCGGACCCCCAGGCGGAGCGACAGGTCTCGGGCCCTCAGGCGGAGCGGTGGGGCGCCGGACCCCCAGATGGAGCGACAGGTATCGGGCCCTCAGGCGGAGCGGCGGGTGCCCCCACAGGTGGAGCGACAGGTATCGGGCCCTCAGGCGGAGCGGCGGGCGCCGGACCCCCCAGGTGGAGCGACAGGTCTCGGGCCCTCAGGCGGAGCGGCGGGCGCCGGGCCCCCAGGCGGAGCGACAGGTCTCGGGCCCTCAGGCGGAGCGGCGGGCGCCGGGCCCCCAGGCAGAGCGACAGGTCTCGGGCCCCCAGGCAGGTCTCCGGGCGCCCCCAGAGAGCGACAGGTCTCGGGCCCCCAGGCAGAGCGACAGGTCTCGGGCCCCCAGGCAGAGCGACAGGTCTCGGGCCCCCAGGCAGAGCGACAGGTCTCGGGCCCCAGAGCGACAGGTCAGGGCCCCCAGGCAGAGCGACAGGTCTCGGGCCCCCAGGCAGAGCGACAGGTCTCGGGCCCCCAGGCAGAGCGACAGGTCTCGGGCCCCCAGGCAGAGCGACAGGTCTCGGGCCCCCAGGCAGAGCGACAGGTCTCGGGCCCCCAGGCAGAGCGACAGGTCTCGGGCCCCCAGGCAGAGAGCGACAGGTCTCGGGCCCCCAGGCAGAGCGGCGGGGCGCCGGACCCCCAGATGGAGCGACAGGTCTCGGGCCCTCAGGCGGAGCGACGGGCGCCGGACCCCCAGGTGGAGCGACAGGTCTCAGGCCCTCAGGCGGAGCGGCGGGCGCCGGACCCCCAGGTGGAGCGACAGGTCTCGGGCCCTCAGGCGGAGCGGCGGGGGCGCCGGACCCCCAGGTGGAGCGACAGGTCTCGGGCCCTCAGGCGGAGCGGCGGGTGCCGGACCCCCAGGCGGAGCGACAGGTCTCGGGCCCCCAGGCGAAGCGGCGGGCACCGAGTCACCAGGCACGACAGTGGGCTCCGAGTCAACTGGTATGACCGCTGGCACTGGGTCAGACATTGGATCGTCTGGCTGGACAGCGGGCATCGGGGTCACCAGGCATCAGGTCATTTGGTTCGACAGCGGGCACCGCGTCATCTGGCAAGGCAGTGGGCTCCGAGTCAACTGGTATGACCGCGGGCACTGGGGCAGACATTGAATCGTCTGGCTGGGCAGCGGGCATCGGGTCACCAGGCATCAGGTAATTTGGCTCGACAGCGGGCACCGCGTCATCTGGCAAGGCAGTGGGCTCCGAGTCAACAGGCACGACAGTGGGCACCGGGTCATCAGGTACCGGATTGTCTGGCTCGACAGCGGGCATCGGGTCACCAGGTATGACAGCGGGCACTGGGTCACCAGGCATCAGGTCATTTGGCTTGCCAGCGGGCACCGCGCCATCTGGCAAGGCAGTGGGCACCGGGTCACCAGGCATTGGATCGTCTGGCTCGACAGCGGGCATCGGGTCACCAGGCATCAGGTCATTTGGCTTGCCAGCGGGCACCGCGTCATCTGGCAAGGCAGTGGGCACCGGGTCACCAGGCATTGGATCGTCTGGCTCGACAGCGGGCATCGGGTCACCAGGTATGACAGCGGGCACTGGGTCACCAGGCATCAGGTCATTTGGCTCGCCAGCGTCATCTGGCAAAGCAGTGGGCACCGAGTCACCAGGTACGACAGCGGGCTCCGAGTCAATTGGCACGACAGCGGGCACCGGATCAGGTACCGGATCATCTGAATCAACAGCGGGCATCGAGTCAACTGGCCTAATAGGATCATCAGGCTGGATCAGTTCATTATGCTGGGTAGAGGGCTTCAGGCTGAGTAGAGGGCTTCAGGCTGAGTAGAGGGCTTCAGGCTGAGTAGAGGGCTTCAGGCTGAGTAGAGGGCTTCAGGCTGAGTAGAGGGCTTCAGGCTGAGTAGAGGGCTTCAGGCTGAGTAGAGGGCTTCAGGCTGAGTAGAGGGCTTCAGTGAGTAGAGGCTTCAGACTCAGTAGAGGGCTTCAGGCTGAGTACAGGCATCAGGCTGAGTACAGGCATCAGGCTGAGTACAGGCATCAGGCTGAGTACAGGCATCAGGCTGAGTACAGGCATCAGGCTGAGTACAGGCATCAGGCTGAGTACAGGCATCAGGCTGAGTACAGGCATCAGGCTGAGTACAGGCATCAGGCTGAGTACAGGCATCAGGCTGAAGAGAGGCATCAGGCTGAAGAGAGGCATCAGGCTGAAGAGAGGCATCAGGCTGAACCACGGAAGGCAGGTTCTCAGACGGTAGGCTCACCGGTTTGGATACTGGCAGGATGGTACTGGTTGGAAAGAATTTTCGCTTTTTTCTGGTTTCAACTACTGGGGCACTGCACGTAAACGCAGGTCTGCAAATGAATGGAGCAGCTGGAGACAGAGAAGAGCTGGAGGATGGAACTGGGGAAGGAACAGTCGCTACAGAGGGCTTCTTTACAGGGTTAAAGGCAGGATAGGTGCAGCGAGTGGGAACAGGGTACTGACATGCGGTAGATAGCCAAGTATACTGGGCTGTAACTGGAGGAGCTGTTGGGAATACAGGAGTAGAGCTTTGAGGAGATAGATTAGAAGCAGGACTGGGTCTTTGTAAGCTGACTGAGGCTGGGTGTAACAAATCTGTCCATGTCTGCAGTATGGGTTGAACAAAGCTGAGCTTGAACAAAGCCTGTCTGACCAAAGACTGCACTGCGTTTATACAATCTCTTAGTGTCTGTGGTGAACATGTGGAATAACGTTCCAGAAAGTAACCCACATCATCCTCTAATAACCATACCAGGGACTCTACCTGGTCTGCACTAAATGGTGGCAAAAATTCATCCCTGCATTCAGGGGTACCAGATGAAACCAACTCAGCACAAACCTCAATCAAAGGCTGCACCTCAGAGAACTCTGTGCCCTGATCTACTAGAACATGAGCGAGCCGTATACATTCTAGCAGTTCATCCCGGGTATACTCCTTCAGAGTTTGATAAGCATACTCCCTGTCATCAAACACTAGCAGATATAAATACGCAACCTCATCCAGATCCATCCTTCCCATCAACAAGCCAAGATGGCTTCCCTGTGCAGCCAGTTTCTGGTCAGGATTGGCCTTGGTGTAATGTCAGGGCTCCCGGGTATGACCAGAGGTGTGTGACTGCCGCAGGGAAACGCAGACTTCAGATAAGTTATAAACAATTTATTAACACTAACAATACAAACATAAACGCAGTGCAATACTAAAAGATAACACAGTGCAAACGAACCAAACCACCCACAGATAACAGTACATACAGTGCAAGCGTCGTCAGGCAGGCCCGGGGTCAATATCGTGCGGGCAGCGTGGTACAGGGGGGAGTAAGCGGAGAATAGTCAGGTCACGAGCAGGGTATACAGCAACTAACAGGCAGGTAGGTACAGGGGGTGAGGCAGAGAATGGTCGGGGTCACAAGCCAGGGATCAGAACAGGAGAAGTCCCTGTATTTAATGTCCCTTAAATACACCAGTATAATTAGTTCCAGGTGTTTGACTGGCTGCAAGGTTGAGTCTCTGATTGCTGGGAGCACCCGCTGGCCAGCCCTGGTACTGCAGCTCATAAGGGAGCTGAGTCCCACTATTGCTGGCCAGTCCATTCCTGACACTAAGAATCCCTGTCTCTGAAGAGCCCTATTGTGTGTTTTAAACTTCTGCATACATCTGCCTGTGGTGACTGTGTGTATACAGATGCTTATTCAAACATCATAGTGTTACTGCTAAGATTGGAGAGTTTCCTCCTTCTCTGTACAAAAAAGGTGGGGGTGGGGTGGCAGTGTGAAGGGTTAATTGCGTAATTAACCTGACCCAGTAACAATCGCTCTCACAGGCTGTGGCACAGATTGTGGTCTAGTGAGCTGGAAAATCATTGTGCAGGGTGCAACTGAGCATGGCATTGTTTACACACGACAGCGCGGTTTTAGATTAGCTAGTCCTTCGGTCACGAGTTGGTGAGAAGGGCTGGGGTCTGACGCCACGCCCATTACATAGACCTCCTCTGTAACTTTACACTGCTAACCTGTAGACATTATCTAGTAAATATTGTGTTTTTTCTTTGTTTTTTTAATCAAAGTGTATTTTTAAATAAAAAATTTATATTCATTTTTAAAAACTGCGCATTTTGGTTTTCAGTCAAGTGCATTTTGAATTTTCGGTTTTGGCACCAGAATTTCCATTTCAGTGCACCACTAGTAAAAAGGTTTACTGATGAAAGACTTAATACCTGTGAAGGACATGATTTTGTCTGCTTTCAGTATGACATCATGGGAGAATGTGCACTGTGTTCTAGAGAGTATTTATACAAGTTTGTTGTGTACATGCATGATCATTGCTGCCTTAATGAAAGGACTCTGTGCAGCCATAAAACATCCATTTTGAACAATCTATATGACATTACGTGATTAAATATATGTTGCTTATTCATCCACAATGGAGCTCAGGTGACCTTCCTTCTCTTTTGAGGTGGTTATTTTATCTAGTTTAAATTCAACCTTGAAATATTAATAAAACTTTTTAAAATCAGGATACCAATTTTTCTGCCATAACAACAAACCAAGGGTTCACTTAAAACTGGGTTTTATATCCAAACACTTACATTTCTTGACAAAGTATAAAAGCAGGGATGTATGAATGCAACTCTCAGACAGCAGTCACAAAAGATGGCACAACACAGTAGATGTGCAGTGGAGCAGAATTTTGCAAGATTATCTCAGAACTGGGGCTAAAGCAGCCCATAGATTATGCAATTATCTCTCTTTTCCACCACAGGTGGAAGAAAAAAAAATTGCTAGATTCCCATATCAACACAGAGAGTGTTGATGGGGGAATCACTGTCGCAATGCTATTGTGTTCTGCCAGCGGGTAGCCTTCCCTGCAGGCAGAACATAATGATCACTGCTGGCGGCTATAGCTACCGGCAGTGATCACATGAAAAAAAATCCAACAGGCTGGTCGTACAGAAGTTGATCGATGGATCGACTTCATTACAAACAGCCTGCCCATTGGTGGATCGAATCTCACCCAGTCCTGCTGAACCAGCCAAGATTTAGATCCATCTATGGCCAACTCAACACAACATTTCCTAAGTACAATATAATTTCATTCAAAACAGATTGAGCTGATTTTAATTGGCAATTTACTGGGTTTAGAAGACATCGGCAAACCTGGCCTTATATTAAGGAGACTAATGCATACACTGGATAAAACAGGACTCCAACTGCTAATTTAAAGACAACAGAATACCAGCATTCACTTTCCAAGTTCTGAAAACAACTTGCAGAAAATTGGATAAAAAGACTAATGAAAAATGTCCCCTTGATTAAAGTCACATTACTGATCCCTAGAACTGATGACTAAGCAATGCTAGATATACATTGTACACAATTTACCTACACCTACACATAAATACATAGTCATATTTTCCATAAGACACATGTCCAATTTTACCCGCTTCCCGTCCGTCCTACAGCAGTAATACTGCTACAGGGCAGCACGGGTGCGCAAAATCATGTATATACATTTGATTTTGCATTTCCGGATAGGGGGCGTGCACGCCTCTGTTCGCGGCCTTGGCTGTCAATCACCTGATCTCGGCCGGTGATTACTTGCCGGCACCTGGTGAACAACGAGCATTACCAACGGAGGGAGACAACAGTAAGTAAACAATACACTTCTCTCCCCTGTCAGCTCCTGTACGCTGCTATGCATGTCTTTGCATAGCAGAGCAATGCAAAACAATGTGCTTCCAGTGAAGCACACACACACAGCACAGAGATGCTTTTTATTAGCACTGATCACTGTATTGGTGTCACTGAGGATGTCAGTGACACCAAGTCAGTTCGCCCTAGTGTCAGAATGCCCACCGCAGTCCCGCTATAAGTCGCTGATCACCGCCATTACTAGTAAAAATAAAAAAATTAAAAATTCCAGTATATATACCGCCATTTGTAGACTAGAAATAGTCGAAAATATTGTTTATTTCTCATATGGTCGGTCATCTTTTGTTTATAGAGCAAAAAATAAAAAACACACAGGCGATCAAATACCACCAAAAGTAAGCTCCATTCGTGGGAAAAAAAGGACGTAAATTTCATTTGGGTGCAGCGTTGCATGACCACACAATTATCAGTTAAATTAACGCAGCGCCATAATGCAAAAAAATGGCCTGTCAGTAAAGGGGGTAAATCCTCTGGAGGGCAAGTGGTTAATCAAACATTTCATAAATGCAGCTATATTGTGCATTGCAAAGTCCCATCCAGAAAGTCACACTTTATTAGTGCCATGTATAAAAAATTCTGCCTCAGCAGAATGAATAACAGTTTACACAATCTCCATTAAATGAAGCTGAAAATGTCATTCAGAACAAGAAAAAAAAATAATATCCAATATCTTACCAGAAAAACCAACGATCCGTCCAGTCCCAGCATCTACAGCAATCAGAAACATTTGGTTATCAACAGGCTAATATAAATTTCAAGTCCTTACTATTTAATTTCCTAATGCAACTGAATGAAAATTTAGTACCCATCATGCTGTGGTTATGCACAACAAAACGTGTATTATTTACATTAAAATACAACCAATAAACCACCTACCATACAACGTGCAAAAATGCTAAAGAAAATTTAAAGTGAACACCACAATATAATGCAAAATAAAATAAACAGCTTCCAAAAAGACCTTGAATCCAAATTTTTTATTTACTGTAGTGCTGTAAAGTAAAAATTCACCTTTGT